GATGCTTTAACAGACAAACCTCTGAGAAGGGAGGACGTGTCTCCTTCCCAGGGACAAGCAACTCTTCAAGCTGGATTTTTTTTTTTTGCAGTTGCTTCTCCTCTTGTTTTAAGCCCCGCCAAGAGCCAGAGAGAATCAATATATCCAAATATACCAGACTTCTCCTAGAGTCCCTTCACTGGTTTGCTGCTGATGTATAGACAGATGATCTCATGAGACCTCTGCCACATTAGGCCACCATGTCTCATCTATCTTAAGTGCATATACGAGCTGTGATTACTGCCGCGTCTGAGCGCCTCACGTCTTGAATGTAGTTATCCTCCCATCAGTCCTGCGAGACAAGGGACTGCTATTATACCTCTTCCAGGGAGGACACAGAGGGCCACGGGGGTTAAACAGACTGATCGCTGAGGATATCTGGGACGTGGCAACATCAGGACCCTCTGAGCATCTCCCCTGTCTCATGCCTCTGCCTTGCAAAACACCGAGGCAGCACCTACCCCACAAATCACAGCTCAGACTCAGCTCAGGACTCCGGCTCCACATGGGATGTAGCTTTCAGCACCCAGCCTAATCCTGAGATTAATGAGGGATTCCCACTATAAAGACCTCTTGATCAGACCTCTTATGAGTAAATATACCATCAAGCCAAACCATAATGTTTCCTACCCTGGCAGCCACTGTCTTAAGCCTTAAACCAGAATCCATCATGCTACAGCAATATTCAAAAAGCAATTAGACAAAACCATGGCAGAAAAGTCCATCAAGGGTCGTTAAGGATGACGACTTGGATACAGGCTCTGGCTCAGGACGTCTGCGTGTGGCAGACCAGTGCTGGCCAGGCAGATGTGCCAGCAAAGGTATCCACGTGCACACACCTAGTTTTCACACCCTTTCCTTGTGCCCCTGGCCCTGTCACGGCAGGATAACCACACTTGCTGTCTGACCGCGGAGCCCTCATTATTACTGCTAAGCCGTGCCTGCTCCTCCTGGGACAGAGGCTGCCGAGCCCTTGTCTCTCCTGGGAGAGCCCTCACTTCAATTCCTCAGCATATTTCCCAAGCTTAACAGGAGGCGTGATGAGTCTCGTGTCTGCAGCATGGATAAATATCCCCCGGTTAGCTGCACACAGTGCCGCTCGCTCTGCTAGCGAGCAGCTCGGCACACTTGGGCATCACCCTGTGCCCAGCAGCTCGGGACGCTGCACTTTTTCCTAGCTGAGAAATCCCAGCCTTCATCCACTGAGAGATGAAAACCGGCCTGACAACATGGCCATCGCCATGACAACATCAAAGTTACCCCAAAAAAATAAATAAAAAGCCCAGTAACTATGGAAACACCTGAGTGACCAAAACCAGACTATTAACTAGAAGACCTCTCCGCAGTTTACAGATAGCATCAGCGCCACGAGGCTGGGGACTGCAATATCCCCAAAGCCTTGAAAACAAAGAGATGCTTCGCACCTATGGGTGCAAACACAAATGTGCGTGGGCACACACATCACCACCTTTCAGACCCCAGTGTCCAAGTGCTCTGCACAACCTCAATCTCCTCTGGAAAGATGCTGCTGCCTTCGTGCTGGATGTTATATCCAGACCATGGTTATCTACATACTCCTCCCCCATCTCTGCCCTCCCTCCGCCCTGCTGAGGACACCTCTCTCGAGTGCCATCCTCATGGTCTTGGCCCTGCAAGGGTGCCAAGGGGGGATGGAGCCACCCCATTGCCTGCTGGAACCTGGTTTCCCAGCGTGGTTTTGGTGAGCTGCGTTTTGAAGCCCCGGTGCCTGGCAGCTCCCGTGGCAGTCATGCTGCCAGCTGGAGCATCTGAGCCCAGGACAGAGCCTCAAAGCAGTTAAGCCTCCTCCACCAAGGCAGAAGAAGCTGTGTCTACACCGGTTGCCCTTTTTGTTCAGCTTCCTTGCCTTCCTTCCCTTCCTCAACCTGTTCAGCTGCACTAACAGGTGCCATGGGCTAGTACAGCATGACCAGGAGAAGAAATAAAAAAGCAGAGGGGGGTGAGGCAGAGCGGCAGAAGATAGGCTGTAACGTATCTTGGGTGGACTGGCCACAGGTTCACAAAACCCTTCTCCAGAACCATCATCCAGGAGGATGAGGATGGGCACAGGTAGGGGCCAGCCACCATGCAAGGCTCTGAGCCATGGCGGAGGCACCAACAAGGCCAGTACTTGTGCGATCCACTAACTCCCTTGCTCAGGTTCACTCGGCTCTTGAGTTATACAGCAAAAATACTCTCTTCTCGGCTGTGGAGAACTCTTCCAGCCCCCAAACCAAACAGAGCCTCAAAAACAGGCTTAACAGCTTCCATAACGCAGCAACAACCGCAGACATGAAAATTCAACGGAGCTTACCAGACCAAGCCGCTAAACACATACTGCACCGGACCAGAGCAAGGCACAGGCGAAGAAAACAGCCGAGAGGTCAAGGGAGTTGGGAGAGGCTGGAAAAGGGTCTCAAGTGAGATCAGTCACTGGGGAGCTGGGCTGCTCTTGGTAAACCCTCTGAAGGACCTGACCGCGTGCTCCCCCGGTGAGCAAACACTCTTATTTGCTCCGTTTCCCACTGAGAGCCGCACAGTAGACTTACAGCTGCCAAGAAAATAATAAAGCCTGTGAAGTGCCTTTGCACAGAGGAGCACTCGCCAGCATAAGCATGGGGACTGGCTCCTTCAGCTACCGGTCCATCCGTGCCTGGCACAGACAGCACTATCAAAGCCTCTCCCCAGCGACATCGGTGAGAGCCGCTTACCCATCCGCTATGCAAACTGTTAAATTATGCACCAGCTTTCCCTTAACCAATTCTCCCTGGTCCCTTCTCTCCACCACTCCAAGCGAAACGGAGAAAGATGGTGCGAAGGAACAGGAGGCAGCTCGCTCGAGACTTCCCCGGGGATGAGCAGCGAGGCAGACCTCCAACTGAGAGAGGGGCTGGCAGCTAGACTGGGGTCCCTCCTCGCTCCTGGCTCTCCAAATTAGAGTATATCCTACCAGGGAGAGGGTTACCCTCTCGGCATCTGCTATAGCAACTCTGTGTGCCTGCCCCGGCTCTTATTTCAGTTCCTGTGCTTCCAATCCTCGTCTCTCCTTTGTGCACTGACTGCAAAATGGAGGAGTAAAAGTCCCCCTTGGTGGCTTGGCAGACCCAGAGAGAGAAACGGAGGAGCTGCCTATGGAGACGGGCAGCCACCAAACTTGTCTCGGGCCACCTCTGGGCTCAGCACCCTCCATCAGCAGGAGGCCAGACTCAAGTAAATCTCTGTGATCATTTGTTCCCTTTGAGTTTTGAAAGCAGAATGCCTAATCATGGCCAAAATCAGGTAAGAGCTGCTGCTGCAAATTACACAGCACCACAGGTAATTTCTGATTAGCTCACTCTTCCTCTCCTGGTGCATCCTCAGTTTCCATAGCAGCTAAGTCCTAAGTAAAATGGAAACATCTGGTTCAAGCGCAGGTAAAGATTCCCTGGGGAAAGAAACCTGCTGGATGGCAGCAAACACAGAAAATAGTTCTCGCAAAAGACAGAGGCATCGTAAGCCGGGAGCCTGGTTAGGAGAGGATGGATGGCACACGGGAGAAGGCAGCGAGGGGCACAGGAGTGGGAGAGGAGGGTCCTGGGGAGGCAGGAGGGGCTGCAGGGAGGAGAGCGGGGCTGCAGGGAAAACAAGATGCATGTGAAAAACAGGTGGGTGAGGAGGTTGAGTGAGACAAAAACATATGGTCAAGACAGACAAGGGGAGAGGGAGAAAGAGTTAAAGGCTTCAAGGTGGGAGCACGTGGACCGCCACAACCACAAATGCCACCTGATGGTGACAGATACAGTGACAGCAACTTCAATGCCATGGATAGACGCTCGGGGCCGGAGAGGAGCACACAGATCTGTGCCCTGCATTTCATCATTCATACACGCACAGACCCCAGCCAAAGGCCACCGTCTCGGAGGCACAACCACCTCAGGTGGATAAGCCAACACATGCAACTGGGAGGGAATGGTTTTTACAGAGGGTCCTGTCAAGGGAAGGGGCTGAGACGTCGCCGACTCAACTCGCTCTCTGCCTGGGCTATGGAGAGTGATGGATCTGGACCAGCAGTTTGCTATCGTGCAGACAAATAGCAAAAAATCAATGGAGCTTCACCGAGACACCGCAGCCATCGTCAGGCAGCTGAACAGAGAGAGCAGACATGGCGCCATCCATCACTGCCGCCACTGCGTCGTCTCCTTCGGCTGCCGGACAGCCTGGCTGGGGCATCCCCGAGGACAACTTGAGGCAGTTGTCTGGGACAACAGCCTACGTTGGTAAAACCTTGGGGGAAACATGATTGAGTTTGAACCGAAGCACTTAGATGGGATCAGAGGATCAGAGCCAAGCACTGCCCCTTGGCTGGATGGCTCATCGCCCCCTGAACCCCCAGATGCCTCCCCCAGCTCACCGGTGAGAACCTCGCAGCCACCTGGGAATGACAGGGCAGCAAAACGCAAAGCAAATGCCAAAAAGCAACTGGGAAACAATTTTGAAATAACATGCTCCCGAACAGGCACGTATGGGAATTTGCTTCCCAGCAGTCACACCCACACAGTTCTGCTCAGGTTTTGCTTACCAATTAACAAGGCCACCAATTAATGCTTTGTGTGTTTTCCTGCTCATTTGTGCTATTTACAGTCTTCCTTTGAAGCAGCGTGCACGAATTCCCTGAAAACTTTTCAAAATAGGGTCGGACAAGCACAACAACCCAAGCTGGCACCTCCTGTCCTCCACACAAGCAAAACCGTAAGTTCCTCTCCCAGACCACCAAGATGGATGTTTCTCCCTCAGAGTCATCAACTCCTGCATTAAGTCACGTCTTTTTGGGGTACCATCACCTTCTCTTTGCAACTGAAGTGCCACATGAACCAGTCAATGACACCACCCCAGCCGCTCACAAATGGCACTATGTAATTTTCAAAGAATTTCAGAGAATATTTTTGGTAACATTTGGCTCTTACCTTTGGGCGAGATGTGTCTCCAGGTGATTGTTGGATCTGGCCTGCCCGTGGCTATGCAGGTGAGGCTGACGTTGCCGCCCTCATTGATGGAGATGTCAGAAGATATCTCGGTGATTTTCGGAGACACTGCAACGACACAAAGAGGGAAATGAAAATGCCGCCGGTTCTGCTCCAACTCAAATCCCAAAATGTGGGTGAAGGAGGCTGAATTTCCTTCCTCCCTCCACCCTGACGAGCTATGCAGTAGCCCATCAGTGTCATCTGACTTGATGGGAACACACAGGGGAAAGGTGGGGGCAGAGAAGACAGGGTTGAAGTGAGAAGAAATTGTAGCCAGAGGGGATTCAGTCATTTGAGGGAAGCTCGACACAGCTCCTCCTCAGCACCTCTGCAGTGTGTGAGATGGTGCTTCTTCCCCACCCCGCTTCCAGTACCCAGCCTGTCCTCCCAGCCATGACAAACCCTTCCCAGGAGCGCTGTGTCCTAGTGAGAAAACACCACTCACCCCCTTCAAACTCCCCCAAAGGTAGCAGTGGTTCCTGGCGCAACAAGAGCGCCCGAAGCACACACATTGCTTGCAGCTCTTCCTGCAGCTGTGCAGGCTCTCTGTTACGCCCTTGCAACCAGAAATGCACCAAGAAGAGGAGCTGGGCATGAAGATGACAAGTCTACTGAAGAGTCTCCAAGGTCTATCACCGTGAGAACGGAAATTCAGTCGGGATGAAAGCCGTCCCTGCTGCACTGGCACTCAGGAGCAGATACAAGAGGCTCAGACCCAAAGAGGGGACACACATAGAGGATGGGGGGTGATGAGAAGGGGGGCTGAGAAGGGGAAGGAGTGAGGAGCAAGCAGGGAGCGCTCAGCCCCTGCTGCCGCTGAGCGTAGGCCGCGATGCAGCTGCCAGGGAGGGCTGGGGTTTCTACAAGCTCTACGGCAGGGCTGCACAAGAAAAACGATCGGCTGCTGTTATCAGCCTGCACCTGCAGAACATAATAAAGACCATCACCTTCCTCGGTTTATTTTTTTTCAGGCCATTCTCCGGAGCCTAGCAGCGGATTGGCACCCCGCTGCGGCGCTTTGCAGAAGAGTCACAAATCACTTGCAAAGCATCCTGCTCCTTCCACCCTCCCTCCCCGGGCAAGCCCCATTCATCGGCTCGCTTGAAGCTGTAGCCCAGACCGTCACAACACCCCAATTCCTGACTTGGACCCCACTCCCCAGCACCCCTTTCCTGCCTCTCCCCACCTTCCCGGGGCTGCGCTGAGCCGGAATGACTGCAATGGCCTTGCACGCATTGCCTCTGCTGTGCAGGTAAGTAATTTATTGATCCGTAAAGCACTCCAAGACGCTCTGGAAGGGATTATGTCATGCCAGTGCCGTGCAATAAAATAAAAAATGATGGATTTTTTGTGAACATGAGGGTGATTTAGGGTTTGTAGTTGGAAGTGTAGTTAAAGTACATTTTAAGTGGAAATCAAGGTGGGTAATGAATTATTCTCTGTTTTGAAGGGCTTCTGGGAGTTCATTTTTTTGCTGCTCCGGGCACGATGGCTAATCTGCTAATCATGCATCGGAGGACAACTACGGATCAGACACTCCCAGAACAGTGGGGAGCTCTGGGGCAGGACGACAACACCAAAAGAAATATTAATATGCATCAGTGTCATTAAGCCCAGTGGATGGGGACAGCACAGGCCTCCTGGGCCCACCCGCCCAGACGGAGCTGGAAGATGCTCTGCCAATAGCCAGGTAGTCCATTAAGGAGATGCAATTAATTACAACGGAGCTATGAATGCCCCGCCGTGTTCCTGGTGAGGCTGGGACCGCTAGCCAGGAAAGACATGTGTGCTTTAAAGACTGAGCTTAAGGCCTGGACAACAAAAATAGGCCAAGGAGGTATTACCATTGCCATTTCAGAGGTGGAAAGAGACAAGTGGAGGCACAGTGAATTGCCCGTCATCACCCGGGAAGAAGCAATAGCTTCCAGCTGTAAGTCCTGACAAAACTAGAGCAATATCTATCACCTTCAATGAGATGCTTGCTACATCACAGAGGAACCTTTCTCATGTTTTTAACTACTGATTCCACATCAACCCAATTCAGCTTGTTTTGCAGAGCTCACAGAGACATTAAAAAAAAAAAAAAAAAAAAAAAAAAAATATGGTACCGCATACACGGATTTGCACCCGCCCAGGCGATAGACCAAAATCTGTAATCAAATCAACTGATCAGATTCTAAAATGTAATTAAAACAAATTAAACTTGGATTTCCTGAAACATGAATGTTACATCCTCCTCCTCAGCCATACAGCAGAAGATTTAAATTTTGCTCAGACTAGGCAGAGGAGAGATGACTGTGTTGTTGCTTGGTCAGGCAACAGGAGACTGCGACTCTCTTCGACAAATGCAAAAGGAGCTTGAGATGCTCAAGCACTGGGGAAAAAGCCCATCGTGGCCCAGAAAGCTCAGGACACCCTGGGGGAGAGGCAATTTACTGCAGCCCACCTGGGCCAAGATGAGGCAGGAATGGCTGGGAAGCAAACCAGAGCGACAATGTCAGTGAATTCGTTAGCTAACCCTTAAATTAAATGTGCAGCAGTAGGATTTAACACGACAGTTATTGTATGCTAATTAAACGTTTGAATAATTAACCGCACGAACTATTTAAAATGGCTTTCTGGAGACTGAACAGGTATGTTGTAAGGCTTTTACCACACTAGAGAGGGAAATCTTAATAAATAAGTGATCACACAAGTATATATTTAATATTATTTTAACGGTCACCAGTGCTCCTGTTCCCTCTGCATTAAAACGCTTTCACCGTCAGCTTGCATTTCTGCGGCAATGGGGCAGAGGAGAAATTTCTTATGCTGAACGCAGGATGCAGATGGAGCTGTGCCCCTATGGGAATGAATAAATAAATAAAGCTAAATAAATGCAGACTTCCCAGGCGGGAACCCTCTCCTTGCGGGCAGTCCTTTTGTGTTCAGCATTCCTCTAGCTCAGAAGTGATTAAACATGGCAGTGCTGGCCAAGCTGCTCCAGTGACACAGCACAGATTTCCCCAGAGGCGGGCTGGTGTTTTATCGATCTGACTACTTCTTTCCC